GTGAGGTCAGAGGTGAGAGGTCAGATGAGGTCAGAGGTGAGAGGGCACAGATGAGAGGACAGATGAAGTCAGAGAGATGAGAAAACAGGTGAGGTCAGAGGTGAGAGCACAGGTGAGGTCAGAGGTGAGGACAGGTGAGGTCAGAGGTGAGAGGTCAGGTGAGGTCAGAGGTGAAAGGACAGAGGTGAGGTGAGAGGTGAGATGACAGATGAGGCCAGAGAGGTGACACTGCTGGCCCTGAAGGAGGACAAAGGGGCCATGAGCCAAGGAATGCGGCCATCCTGGGGAGCAGGCAGAGGCCAGGAAACATTCTCCCCGGAGCAGCCCTGGTCTGAGACACCTGACACGGTCTCAGCGAGAGCCCGGTCAGACCTCCGACCTCCTGTCGGCAGCAGGCGTCAGCCATTCGCTTCGGCAGCAGTGGGAGGAGGCCTGGGAGGGCTCCCGAGGTCAGGACAAGTCCAAAGGCTCAGTGTACCGAAAAGGAAGAAAGGAAAGGAGCCCCCTGCTCTCTCCTTAGGAAGCGCAGCCTTCAGGCTACGGGAGAGGGACCACGCGGGGCGGCGGGCGAGGCACAGGGAAGACCTGTTTTCTCCTGGAGAAGCATGGATGCTCCTCGGCCCATGTCCCCGGAAACCTCACAGGCCACCCGCCGAGCTGCCTGGCTCAGCAACGCAGCGCTTGGCGCACACTCAGGAACCACGGGGCTGGCGGGGCAGGCGCTCGCTGCCGCTGGCCAGCACCCACAGGGAGGACGGGATCACGTGTCGCCAGCCCAGATGGAGCACCCACGGGGAGGACGGGATCACGTGTCGCCAGCCCAGATGGAGCCCTACACGCAAATCTCAAGTACCTGTCCCTGAACTTCCGTCACCCTCGCACTGTGGGAAAGGCCAGGGCCCTCAGCCGGGGACAGAGTGCGAATGACCATCCATAGGCCCCACCTGGTCCCGGATGACAACCTCCCTGAGCCCACCTGGGCGCTCCTGCAGCGTCAGGGTCCATCTGCCCTAGCCCCACCCCTTCCACTGAGACGGCTCTGCCGAGGCCACCGGCAGAACACCTGCCGCGGCTGTCTCAGCTTTGACTCCTGAACCCTGGAGTCATTCCAGCTACACCCGACGTGGGGGTCAAGCTGGAGCTCAGAACTGGGGTCCCAGTCCCAGGTGCACCCCCAGCCCCTGTCCCCACCAGACCTCGCACACAGGTGCTCGGGGAGACGGCTTCTCCGTGTGCTCGGCTCTGAGCGCGGCCCCGACGCAGCCTCGGTGGGACACGCTGAGCTTCGGCGCCTGCTTGCTGCAGCTGAAGGAACTGCGCCGACGGCAGCGAGTTCTTCCTCAGACCCCACCCTGTCCCGATAAAGCCTGCATTCAGCAGCTTTCAGCGCTGGAAGAAAAGTCCCCTCTCGGGGCCGGCGCTGTGGTGCAGCGGGTAAAGCCGCCACCTGCAGAGCCGGCATCCCATATGGGTGCCAATTTGAGTCCCAGCTGCTCCACTTTTGATCCAGCTCTCTGCTGTGGCCTGGGAAAGCAGCAGAGGATGGCCCAAGTCCTTGAGCCCCTGCACCCGCATGGGAGACCTGGAGGAGGCACCTGGCTCCTGGCTTCAGATCAGCTCAGCTCTGGCCATTGCAGCCAATTGGGGAGTGAACCAGCAGATGGGAGACCTCTCTCTCTCTCTCTCTCTCTCTCTCTCTCTCTGCCTCTCCTCTCTCTCTAACTCTGAATTTCAAAGAAATAAATAAATCTTTAAAAAAAAGAAACCTGGCCCCAGAGCCAGGTGGTAGGAGGTGTGGCCTCTGGAAGTGGTCACCTGGTGAAGACGGAGCCCTCAGTAGCGGTCAGGGTTCCTGCCAGTGAGACCCCAGAGAGTGAGCACCTTCCGTGCAGCTGCTGCCTGGTGCTCAGCAGACAGGCGGCTTCTGAACTGGACCAGGAAGCGGGGCCTGGGCCTCACCCTCACCCGCACCCGCACCCACATACACACCCACACCCGCCTGCCACTGCTCTGTCCCAGGACTCATCAGCTCCTGGGTTGGGAGGGAGAAGCCCCTGCTGGTTACGAGCCAGTGATTCAGATCAGTGTTGTTACAGCAGCCAAACGATGGAGCTGCCCTGACCGCCAACGCCACCTGTTTCCCCTGCCAACAGTTCTCTCTGCACATCACCAGAGATTGCCGTCCTCACCTGTACTCCACCTGGACGCCCAACCACTCTGAGCCCTGCGCACTTAACACAGCGATGCTGGAGGGAATGCTGCAACAGAAACACTCTGGGGCCAGCGCTGTGGTGTAGCGGGTAAAGCCACCGCTTGCAGTGCCAGCATCCCATATGGGCGCCGGTTCAAGTCCCGGCTGCTCCACTTCTGATCCAGCTCCCTGCTAATGTGCCTGGGAAAGCAGCAGAAGATGGCCCAAGGGCTTAGGCCCCAGCCACCCATGTGGAAGACCCAGAAGAAGCTCCTGGCTTCAGACCAGCCCAGCTCCAGCCATTGAGACCATTTGGGGAGTGAACCAGCAGATGAAAGATTCTCTCTCTGCCTCTCTCCTTCTTTCTTTCTTTACTATAACTATACCTTTCAAACAA